TTCAGTGAGGATAATGATCTTCACATCTAGAATAGTCGAGTAAGTGAATCTAGTTTAGGTCAGTTGCTTGAAAATTGAACTCTAAAGATGAAATTTTTGACTTTCAACAAACACCTAGACTATAACAGGTTCTTCTTGACAATCTTAAGAAATTAAATCCATAAAGCTGAGCTATTCCACTAAGGCAATTGGTTACAGAGGAAACTCGAAAGCCCTGACTTTATGAATAGATTGCATTCAAACCATGACATTGCTCGGACACTTGGCAATTCAGTGTTTTCTCCACTGCTTTTGTCAGGCCGAAGACTTTGTGATGAGATAAACCCTTTAGTTAAACCTGATAAAAGTGATTATAATGTTAAGTTGTCCCTCTAAAGCAATTGGTTAAATGCCCCGGCGTTATGGATTCAGCTAGCCAGACAATGGTAAATTAAATCAAATTTATATAAGCAAGAAATTTTCGGTAATGATGGACTAAGGGAGTTAAGGAACACCTGTTATAGTCAAATTCACACGAGCACTCAAGAATTTCATTTTTAGACCGATATTTTTGCACTACCTTAGTTAAAGGAACTTACAAAACTTGAACAAATGGAAGATTTCAGAGGACCGAAATAAAAGGTCTAGTAATTGATCATGCTAGTTGCGTCATTTTGTCCGCACCCAATTAAAATGCCAAACCAAAAAACATGTTGCGATATTTAAAAAAATGACATTTTAGGTGATTGAAACCTTAGAAATGAGGCCAACCTAAAGCCAATTCATCCATTTGAACATTTGTCAAAGAGCTGTAACTCTGAAAGCATTAAAAGAGCTATTGATTCCTTTGATATTCTTTGAACTCACGTTTATAATTTGATTCAATTGCGAACAATATTTTACAGAATTTTTATCTTTTTCCCTCCTAAAACAAGAAAAAGTAGGAAAACATTTTCAAACAGAATAGTCTCAAATATGAAAGGTTTGTAAAGCCAAAGCTCAAGAAGCAAATGGGGCACGATCGATTCCATGGACCATATTGGCAGGCAAAGCACGAGACTCCAATCCAAGAGATATAACATAAATCATTCATGTTGTATTCATCTTAGGTAACTTAAGAGCATCAGATTTATCATTTTTAGCACACATAATTTTTTACAGCTTTTAGAGTCAAATTTCAACTTCAAGATGAAAGATACTCAATTCAAAAACACATTCAAAAATTGATAGTGGTTGCTCAACCTGACAGCGAAGGGGCGACTGTCTGACGACAAAACAACTTTTCGAGTCTTGTTCAGAGTCAATTTCAACTTCACAGCGAAATATATTGAACTCAAACCGACACAATTTGTTTGAAACATGATTTCAACTCCACTCAAAACCAACTTTCTTGATATTAGATTTCAACTTCACAACGAAGGATATCCAACTCAAAGCAACATACAATACTTGGATTTCAACTTCACGACGAAGAATATTCAAGTCAAGGTTCAACTTTACGATAAAGGGGTCATCCACGATTTCAACTCCACGACGGAGGATATCGTACCCACACATCCACGATTTGAACTCCACAACGGAGGATATCGTGCCATTTAAGGCTCAACTTCACGACGAAAGGGCTTCCCAGTTTCAAAACCAATTTCAAATTCACGCCGGAGGATATTGGACTCGAAACAATACAACTTACTTGGATTTCAACTTCACGACGAATGATATCCAATTCCAGGCTCAACTTCACGACGAAAGGGCCACCTGCGGTTTCAACTTCACGACGAAGGGAATCGTGCACACAAGCAACATCCATCTCTAGATTGGATTTCAACTTCACGATGAAGGATATCCAACTCAAAGAAGGAGTGTCTGTCAATAAACTTTCTAGTTTCAGGGTCAATTTCAACTTCACAGCGAAGGATATTGGCCTCGGAACAACGCAACTTATATTGGATTTCAACTTCACGATGAAGAATATCCAATTCAAGGCTTAACTTCACAATGAAGGGGTCATTCGGGGTCTTAATTTCACGACGAAGGGAATCGTACCCACCAGCAACATTCATCTTCAGGAACAAGCAAATTATCGATCGCCTTTGAGATTGTTTCTCTCGAAACAAGGGGTTGTCTCGCTTGAGACTAATTTACTCAAAACAAAGTTTTGTCTCTCTTGAGATAGTTTCCCTTAAAACAAATTCTTTGAATATGTTTTCCTTGAAACAAATTTCGTCTCCCTTGAGACAGTTTCTTTTGGAACTAAGTTTTGTCTCTCTTGAGACAGTTTTTCTTGAAACAAATTTTGTCTCTCTTGAGACAGTTTCCCTTCAAACAAAGTTTTGTCTCTCTTGAGACAGTTTCTCTTGAAAAAAAAAACCTTTGAAAATGTTTCTCTTGAAACACCAAACCTTCGAGTTCGACTACGCTCAGCTCAAAGACACATCATTTGCAGTATACCTTAAATTGAGAAGGGCTATCTGCCACCAAAAAACTGACGAGTTCGATTTCATTTAGCTCGATGACAGCGAAGAATACTTTCTGGAAGAATTTTCAAACCGAAATCTTTAAACCAAGAAGAAAACAAAGGCTCAATTCCAGGAAGCCCAATCACATTTGAGAGGACCAGACAAAAACTGATTGCCTTTTTTTCGTCTTTGCCCTATTTTTGTTAACACAAAAATGTGCAAAGAGGGACAGTTGTAGACACCCATTTTTGATCGGGCTTAAATATATATATATATATATATATATATATATTACAATAATTATTTATTATTAATTATTATTATTATATTATTAATACTATTAATATTATTTTTCAACAAACCACTACCCCACCTACCCATTCCACTCCTCTCCACTAAACCCACTAAACTACTTTTTCTTTACCACTTGTCACACAACTTTTCCCCTTTAAAAACCCATCACTCTCACTCTTCAAGGGGGGAACCAACACAAAAACGAAAAAGATAGGGGGAAGAAATGATTTTTTTCAAAGGGAAAGAGTGATAGAATGCACACTGGGCGGGGGGCCTTCTTTCTCTTCCTTCCATGGTCTTCACTTTCCACTTTCCAGCATCAAATGGAAATTTCATTCCCACATTTAATTGGCGTTGGCCTCACGCTCTCTCGGGGCTCTTTTCCTCTGCTCTCAGATCCTTTTTCCTTTTCCAGTTCTACTACCAAAAACCCAGATGTATTCTTTGCTTCCAAGCAAAAAAAGGTATGGCTCCATATTCAAGACACATATACTAGGTTGTCCATGTGTAATGATGTCCAGTCCCGAGGCTGCCAAACTCCTGCTGCTCACCAAATTTCATCTCTTCAAGCCGATATTCCCCTCAAGCAAAGAGAGAATGTTAGGCAAACAAGCCATCTTCTTCAGCCGAGAATAATACCATGCCAAGTTGAGGAAGCTTGTTCTTCGTGCCTTCATGCCCGACGCCACCGTTTTGACAGCGTTGGTGAACTCCGGGATCACCGTCGTTGTCGCTCTTCCAAATGAACTCCTTACCTCAATTACCGACGACCAGTCCGCCACTGATAACTGGGTTCAATCCAACATAATCAAGTTCTACCCTCAAACAAAGATAGAAGTCATAGATATCGGGAATGAAGTCTTTGTGGACCCGAAAGACACAACCAATTACCTCATACCCGCCATGAAAAACACCATCGCCAACTTTAGGGTTTTTAATCAACTGTCGAGCCTCCATTTGCCTTTCAGAACTTTGATCGATGAGCAGCTAATCGACCATGGGTCACTCTAACGTCTGGAACTCTCACCCAAAACCTACGGCCTTAGATCTCGCGTCTGTCGTGTGTGTGGCAACCCCCACGTCATCATTAGAAAGTATAAGCTCATATGTTGCAGACAGTGCTTCCGTAGCAATGCCAAGGAAATTGGATTCATCAAGGTAAAACTGATACCTTTGCTAATTAATCTTCTGATTAGTGTTGTTAATGGAATATGCGTAATGCATTCAAGGTGTTAGAACTCTTATATTTCCTGTACTAGTGTGAGGTACAAAGAAGTGCTAGCATATGTGAAACAAGGCGCGATTTGCTCTTTTTTTTATGCGTGTGTATATCTATCTATATATTTATGATTATGGTAATGAACTCTAAACGTGGTCCAAGTTTTCTAAGAAACATTATATTATATAATATTATATTATTATTACTATTATTATTATTTTTTATTCTATTTTCATATTTATTTTTATTTTACAATCTAACAATATTTGTGGCTTTTTAGGGGGAATTTTTTTTAATCAGTCGAAGGTAATTAATTCGAATTGAATTTTTAAATTTAAATTTTCGCAATTAAAGTCAACCGACAAATTAATTGGTACCGAAAGGGCGATTCAAGGGTGCTAATCCTTTCTTGATCGTAACTGACTCTCGAACTCGACACGTTTCTGGTACAACGCAGATCAGGTAAGATAGTGTCCGACCCACCTAAATTCATTTTAAAATGGTCGGTGGTGACTCCTAATCCATTTTTCTAAGTCGAAGCCCAATTCCGGTCCCAACCGAAAGGCGGCGACAACCTCAGTGGTTAATAGAATCGTTATTGTTCTCAGATATTACGGTTCGAGCATTAGCAGTTTTAATTGAGAGCATTTACAACAAATATTATTTTATAATAACTTTAATAAAAAATATTTCATCTTAAAGGAATCAAAGTCCTAATCAGACTCAATGTATACACTTTTTATTTTTAATAACTCAATAAATATATCTTAAAATGTCATATTTAAAGACTTAAAAATAATTTTTCATTGATACAATATTTGTATTATGTCTTCATATTTATAATTACGATTTTGATCATTTACGTCTTCCCAAAAGAGTGTTATTTTTATAAATATTTTTTTTTGAGGTATCTATTTTATAAAGAATAAAAATAATATATTTGAATAATAAAATTTATATTTAAAGTGTTTTTTAAATTGAGATTAAAATTTAAAATAATAATAAAATAAGTGCTATGTAAGGGTGCGTTGATTCCTCACCGATAGTCCCGTGTTCTCATCAAGAAGTGGACTGAAAAAAGTCTAACACGTTGAATCCTCGCCGATAATCCCCTTTCCACCCATCTCCTCGGCGATTTCCTATCTCTTTCTCTTTGAATATATATATTCTTTTAAAAAAAACAAACTTACATAGCAAAGGGTGCGTTACCTTTGATCATCCACTTTCTCTTTTATCGAAAAACCGCGTTTTTTTGTTTTTGTTTTTATCAGATCGTAAAATTACTCCAACTTCGGTTTATGGAAATGAGCTTTTATTGAAGGGTTTTTGAGCGAACAGAAAAAGAAAGCAAAAAGAAAATCAAGATTATGGCAGATACTAGGCGCTATGGCCTTACTAATCAACTGGGTACTTGTGGAATTGACTCTTCTATTATCTTTCATTTTGGGGTTTTAGCGGAAGTTGAATCTTGCTCTTTTTTCCCTGCTATATTTTGTCATATTTTAATTTACTGCATTTGATGTTCTGTTGCTCCATTTTGCTAATATTTTAGTTCAGGAGGTGGGCTTTAATTTATTTTTTTATTTTGTGAGGTTTGGTTTGAAGGAATAAATAGCTCCATTTATGCAGAAGAAAAATGGTTAAGCTCATGGGGTGTTAATTTTTGTTGAAAAGAAAGGATCTTGGGTCAAAATTAAAAAACAAATGTAACCTTTTTCACTTATTTTGTATAAAAATTGTATGAAGAATCTTTTTTCATTATGAAGTTAATGCGAGGATAAGAGAAATTTGGTGTTTTTTACTTGATATTAGCAATGATTTGAATGGCTCATCTTGTTGGGTGCAGATATTGAGCAGATACTCATGGAAGCGCAGCAAAGGTGGCTACGACCAGCTGAAATATGTGAAATTCTTAGAAATTATAAGCAATTTCGCATTGCTCCTGAACCAGCACATTTGCCATCAAGTATGATCTTTCAATTGCATTGTAATGGTTTATGCTGTAAGCTGTTAGTTGATGTAGATTGATACTTATCTTGATAACATGCAAAAGTCGCTCATTTGATTTTTAAGTCCTATTTCTCCTGCCTTCTAGTATAATATTATCTTTTGCTTCCATGAATATCTTCTTAATAGCTTTAAATTGTGAGATTGCAGCTTTCTTTACTCAAAAATTCATGGAGAATGTGTTGTTCTTCAATTCCTTTGATCCATTTCTTAGGTAACAGAACCACATTTGGATTGTAATTCAGATATAAAACCATCTATGTTTTAAACTCTGTAGTTAAATTTACTCGAATGAAGAATGTTAATTTCTTATTTCTTATTTTCTCAGAATGCATTTCTTTTCTTTGTGTTTGCAGTACACTAATTTGAGGATGTTACATTACAAGTTTGTCATCTTATTTTCTATTCTTTATTAATTTGGGTTATTAACTTAGCCTATTATTTGATTGATAACTTTTCTTTATTGATAACAAAATCACATACAATGCATTGTTTGTCTTAATACATTTTTTTAGAATTTAGATTACTTATTTTGGGTAAGATTCATCACCCTCACCAATCATGAGCATAACAGGTTTACTTCTTGTAAGTGGTGGTTTTGTTATTCAACCAAATATACAAACATCCCAAATTCAATTAGCGGATGTTTTGACTTTTAAAATATGATAACATCCCAAATTGAAAAGGCTGTTTTGATATTTAAACTGCTAGAAAAGGTTGTTTTGACATTTAAACTGCTAACATCCCAAATTGAGTTATCCAAACTTAATGTGTTCTTTTTCAGGTGGTTCACTTTTTCTTTTTGACCGAAAGGTACTGAGATACTTTAGAAAGGACGGACATAACTGGAGGAAGAAAAAGGATGGGAAAACGGTGAAGGAAGCTCATGAGAGACTCAAGGTAAGAGTCAGTGTTGGGAAAACTTTCTTTTATATATCTTTTTGAATTCTTTTTTGGGAAGAATGAATGTATTTTGAAAAAGAATTGGAAAAATGTTAATCTTTTCAGGCTGGAAGCATTGATGTTCTGCATTGTTACTATGCTCATGGACAAGATGACGAAAACTTCCAAAGGCGCAGTTATTGGATGCTTGAAGAGTAGGTCTTTAAACATTTATGTCCCAAGGGGCAGTAGTTGTGTTGACAGTATTTTGTGCGGATTATATGTTCTGTTTAATTCATTAAATATTCAGTTTTAGTTGTTTCTTACACTTCACTGCACATGAAATAATAGGTGATGGCAACACTATGGGTCCAAAACAATCAACTTTTTTATTGTTCTTGGAATTCATACTCCTGTCCTTTAATCTTTCTATTACTAGATTTTGAACCTAGAATTTACCTTATTTTAAGCGATTTAAGCTGATACAGAAAGAGTTCTTTACACAATATTACATTTTTTTCTTTTGCTTATGCCTATGCTGAACCGGTTTTATCTTCTTCTTTTCCATTATAGGGTGCTTCTATATTACCTGCATTCACTAATTCTGATATTTTGAAGTTCTATTGATCAATTTGATTTTCATCTCTAAAATTAGGAAAACGGAACTTACTGAAAAAATAAACTCATATTTACCCCTTCAATAAGTTAATGTAAGGAAAAACTGAACCTAAGATCACTTTAATTTTCATGGTGGTTTTGTATCATGATAATAGAATATTTAGCATGTTATATTGGCTGAGGTTTCTAATTTTTTTTTTATCAATTCTGCTAATGTAGATCATGTTTTCTTGGTTTGAAATGCATGTGCTATTTGCTTGAAACTGTACTAGTTTCTCTATTGCAATGCTAGTTTAACAAATCCCTCTTGGTTGCTGACATTATTCACTAAATGTGTAGGGAACTCTCGCACATTGTTCTTGTCCACTATCGAGATGTAAAGGTCAGACCTCATTCTATCACCTTTTTCTTTTTCTTCTCTTCCCGCATATGCTTATCCATCTTTGAAAGAACTATGGGAAGGTAGTATCTTTTTTTTTTTTGCTTCACTTGTTTGAAGGTTCTTTAACTGATTAAAGTTATTAATTTGAAGCCATATATTTTTTTAGCTTTAGATGATAGTATGGTTGCTGAATTATCAATATTATTACCCAGCCAAAATGGAATTTTTAAAAGATGATATAAATTGAAGGGGCAGCTTTTTGTTTGTAGACATCTTGTGTTTTCATTTGTACCTCTTGAAGTGGTACAGTCTGGAATCTAAATGCCCTACGACAAGTTAATGCATTCAATTGTGTTCATTTCACTTGATTTCTTTATTGAGCATGCAAGACTTTAGCAAACCTAGAACTTAGTTTTCTTGGCTTAAATTAAGGGCAAGTATCTTGTTTTCTACCGTGTTGATGGTCAAATATTTTATATTATACATGGCCATGGGCAAAATTATATATATGGGCGTGTGTGTATTTGAGCTTGAGAACATGCATGCTAATATTAACTTTCTGTCTTGTTTGTTGCTATATGTATGTCCCACTTCCCCTTTATTTACTTGTTCCATCTGTATAATATTGGCGTGTGAAATAGCAGTAAATTATTTGATTCAGTAGTTTAGATTAACTAGAACTCTATCCTATTTGATTTAGTATAGTTTAGATTAACTATAACTCTATCTTATTTGATTTAGTAGTTTAGATTAACTATAACTTTATCCTTTTATTTTCTAAATAGGATAGAACATTTTCTAGGAGTACTTATAGTTGTATTCAAACACTTCTACTCAGCCTATTTAAATGAGGTTTGTATATCCCTTCTAATCAATCAAGAAATCCGGAGTATCACTTTGATCTGTGTTCCTGAATCCTTAATTTCTGCATGGTATTAGTCTAGGTTTTTGATTTTTCCCCTTAATTTCTACACCATCTGTGACTATTTCTATCTTGAATATTATTTTTTTTTTGCTTCGCATTTTCTGCTGTCTTTTGGTGCCATTACCTTTGACCAACTCACATTAGGTTTTACAATTACTCCCATTGAACTAGTACTAGGCATTCTATTTTACTTTCCCAATCTTGTTCTGAATCAGGAAAAGGCATTATCTTATACAGCCATTAAGGCAGCAGACTGGCAGTTAGAGGGGATCAAAACTCTTCTAATTCCTATGTTTTCTCACCTTTTTTTTCTATTGCGCATTACCTTCTTAACAACTACACATAGTAAAACATTGATCCTGAGTCTCTTCTAAAACCGCAAAGGTTTCTGTCTTCACAATATGTTACTGTATATTTTAAAATACATATCCGAAGTCTAAACCTAAATGAATTTAGTACTTGTCTCTTTCTCTAGTGTTTTTAATAAGTTGTTTAAAAAGTTATAATGAAGAGCCATCTTCTAATTTTTCTGTTTTTATTTTCTGTAATTTTGTCAGGGAAATAGGACAAATTTTAATCGCATCAAAGAGATTGAAGGAACTATTCCATATACCCAAGAACCTGAAGGAATAATTCCCAATTATGAGGGTGAAAGTTCTAATTCTTCCAATTTTAATCCCAGTAATAGTCAGATTCCTTCACAAACTATGGATACAGCAAGCATGAACAGTGTGCATGTGCAGGCATCAGAATATGAAGATGCTGAATCAGGTGTGTTTGTTAGCTAAATATGGATCAATTTTTAATAAGTGATTAAGAGCTAATTTAATGTGGTTTTGAATGTATGTTGGTTTTGTGGGTAATGAATGCATTAGTCTGTGTGTTATTCTTACCAAGCAAGATGATATCTAATGCAGCCTACAATCATCAAGCAAGTTCACAGTTTCATTCTTTTCTTGATTCACATAAGCCTGTTGTGGGAAGGACGGATACCGGGTTCTATGATCCATATGTTCATGTATCACATTCAAGTATGGCAATTATTTGGTTTACTTTACTGTTGATTTGTCTTCCCATTTTTGCTTACTACTGTCCTTTACTGCCAACAGATTATCATGGCAAACCGCCTCCAACTGCTTTTGAACTTACTCAACCAGACAAGGATACAGAGTATGATAATGTTGGAATAACATATGAGCCCCAGAAGAACCTTGATTTCACGTTATGGGAGGATATGTTGGAAAAGGGTAATCCTGGGGTTGGCTCTGCACAATATCAGCCACCACTCACCTTGAAACAAAATGATATCATGGGGCAGCTATTTGACAACAGCTTTCTTAATAAGCAGGACTTTGAGGATCAATCACATGCTCAAGAAGACTGGCAGGTAATGGATTCATTAAACTTTGACGATGGGTTTGAAAATTCTAGCTATACATGCTAAGAGTGGAATTGCAATATTTAAAGATAAGGCATTAATGATGGCCATTATGGTCATGTGAGCTGTGGTTGGCAAATTAGGTCCAAATCTTTAATGGGTATTTGAGATAGACCAACCCATGAACTGATTTCAGAGGCCATTGAATCAAGGATGAAAAAAAAATCGAAAAAACCTAGACTGATAACCATGTAGAAATTTAGGAACCGAAATCAAAATGATACTCTGAATTTTTTGATACATTGAAAAAGATATACAAACCTCGTTTAAATAGGAGGGGAAATCTATGCTGGGTTTGATGCAGTTTAATGCATCAAGTTAGGTGCGTAGGTGTATATTCTACCTTTCCTTTTTCCAATTAAGTCCTAATTTGTCCTCTAAACAGGCTTCTGAGGGTAATTCTTCTCATTCAATGAAGTGGCCATTGGACCAGAAGTTGCATTCAGAGCCTACACATGCTGATTCTCTACCTAATAACCAGCTGATAGACCCCTTAAATGCAAATCATGTATATGTTCCTAAACCAGATTCAGAGAGCTATCTGACACTGGAGGGGAAATCTATTTACTCTTCTGCTACAAAACCACATTTGCTTGATGGTTCCTTAGCAGAAGGTCTGAAGAAGCTTGATAGTTTCAACCGCTGGATGAGTAAAGAACTTGGAGATGTAGAGGAATCACATACGCATTCAAATTCTGGAGCCTATTGGGAAGAGGTGGAAGGCCAAAATGGGGTTGATGTTTCCTCTATTCCCTCTCAGGGGCAATTGGATACCTTTACGCTAGGTCCTTCCCTCTCCCATGATCAGCTTTTCAGTATTATTGATTTTTCACCAAATTGGGCATATGTAGGCTCTGAAATCAAGGTAAGCTGTAATTCTTTTTATGCAAGTCAAGTCAGCAATGAAATATCAATTTCTTCTGATGAGGCTGAAATACTCGAAAATTAGTTCCTCACTGTATGTAGTGGCATCTAAAAAGCACTTGTTTTCTTTTTCCCCAATCTCTTCATTTCATACAGATTCTTATCACTGGAAGGTTCTTGAAGTGTAGAGACGAGGCCAAAAATTGTAAGTGGTCATGCATGTTTGGGGAAGTAGAAGTTCCAGCAGAGGTTTTAGCAGATGGTGTTCTTCGTTGCCATACTCCAAGACATGAGGCTGGCAGGGTTCCCTTCTATGTCACATGCTCCAACAGATTAGCATGTAGCGAAGTCCGAGAATTTGAGTACCGAGTCAGTCATAATCAAGATATAGATACTGCAGATCACCCTATCAATAATGCCACCGAAATTCTTGATTTGCGGTTTGGTAGATTATTGTGCCTGGACTCCATTTCTCTCAATTCTAACTCGAATAGCTTAGCTGATATAACCCTGTTGAGCAGTAAAATTAATTCATTGCTGAAGGAGGACATTGAGGAATGGGACCACATGTTGGCCCTTAACTCAGAAGAAGATATTTTTCCAGAAAAAATAAAGGAGCAGCTACTTCAGAAGCTATTGAAAGAAAAGTTGCGTGTATGGCTCTTGCAGAAGATAGCAGAAGGTGGAAAAGGCCCTAGTATATTGGACCAGGGTGGCCAAGGTGTTATACATTTTGCAGCTGCTCTTGGCTATGATTGGGCCTTAGAACCCATTATAGTTGCTGGTGTGAGTGTAAACTTCCGGGATGTGAATGGATGGACTGCACTTCATTGGGCTGCATCTTCTGGCAGGTAAGCAACTTGAAAATTAAAGTTGAACATTCATACATTTCTCTTTTTCAACATTTTGACTATTTTCCTGAGCTGCCTCTTTTATGCAAGCAAGGAAGGGTATTCTATGCCATAGGGCTCTTGGTATGAATTATCTGAAGGAAAGAGTCATCAAGTAAAACTCTAGGCTGTAGAGCTGCAGGCTTCCAAAAAATTAATGGTCCTTGGGCCAATTTTTCTTGGGTTCAGTAATGATATATATTGCTTAAGTTTGTTTATGTACTATATCGATGATGTTCTTATTTTGGTCTGTCCGGCTTCTGCTGACATGAATTGTCTTTAACATCAGAGAACGGACGGTTGTTTCCCTTATTTCACTGGGTGCAGCTCCTGGAGCATTAACAGATCCGACGCCTGAATATCCTTTAAGCAGAACACCTGCTGACCTAGCTTCAGCCAATGGACATAAAGGAATTTCTGGTTATCTTGCGGAATTTGATTTAAGTTCCCGCCTTCTATCCCTGAATATGGATAAGCAAGGTTGTAACAATACCACAGATTCTAGACCAGATGACATACAGAAAATTATGGAGCGAAACACAACTCCGTTCAGCTACGAGGATGCTTCAGATGGTCCATCACTAAAGGACTCATTAGATGCTGTTCGTAATGCGACGCAAGCTGCTGCTCGTATTCATCAAGTCTTCAGGGTGCAATCCTTCCAAAACAGGCAGTTAAAAGAGTATGGTGATGATAAATTTGGAATGTCTGATGAGCGTGCTCTTTCACTTATAGCGGTCAAGTCAAACAAGCCTGGACAACATGATGAGAGAGTGACTGCTGCTGCCATTCGCATTCAAAATAAGTTTCGTGGTTGGAAGGGAAGAAAGGAGTTTTTGATTATCCGCCAAAGAATTGTCAAGATTCAGGTTCATTGCTTTTTGCTGCTTTAATTTATCAGCTTTTATAATGCTTGCTCTATATTCTGTCATCATATTCCTTTACAATCTTAATTTTTGAACCTTAGCTTTTAATTTTGTTTATTTTCTATGAAAGGCTCATGTAAGAGGCCACCAGGTAAGGAAAAACTATCGGAAGATAGTCTGGTCGGTAGGGATTGTAGAGAAGGTGATCTTACGTTGGAGACGGAAAGGAAGTGGTTTACGTGGATTCAAATCCGAAGCACTGACCAAGGGGCCTAGCACATCTGCATCCTCAAAGGAGGATGACTATGATTTCCTGAAGAAGGGCAGGAAGCAAACCGAAGAAAGGTTACAGAAAGCACTTGCCAGAGTTAAGTCCATGGCTCACAATCCTGCAGGCAGAGATCAATATAGTAGAATGAAGAACGTTGTAACTGAGATCCAAGAGAAGGTAATTGAAATCTTTGTTAACCAACTTTTCGTTTTTTCTTTAAGTACTCAAGTCCTACTCATTGGTACGAGTATAGGAGATGATCCTCTTAAGGATCATCCAAATGTTTGAAGATTTTTTGGGGGAAGAAAAAGAACATGTCTGTGTCAGACACATATCTGAGTTCAATATTCACACCCAAGTCCAAATAACATAGATTGAAGTGTTGTATCTAACAAAGGATGTTATGTACATGGAATCTTACAATTGTATCAGAGTCGGTTTAGATTTTTCACAGAAATCAAGTTAAAGGCATGCATGAAAACCAAGTTTATTTTATATTATGATGATGACGAGGATGACGTTCTCTCTTTACATCCAACTGGCAGGTCATGTACAATAAGATTCTAAACTTTGCAGGAGAAGCAACAGATTTGGATGAAGACTTGATTGATCTCGAAAAACTATTAGATGACGACACTTTCATGCACACAGCGCCTTGAATGAACTGATCTCTGTCTTAATTCTCTTACAAACCTTGTTCGAATGCTTTATTGCTATAACTCATCTGTAAATGTCTGAACTTAGCCCATTCTTCGTCAATGATTTGAGATAACAGTGCATAGATTTTGACATATACTTTGGCCCCTGCTACTGCTACTTGGTTGTGTAGTTATTGCTCCATAAGCTAATTAATTTCGACCTTTGCGCAAGCAACTTCTCCTACAAGAGGAACATATTATTCTTTTTTGTTTCTTCAATTTTTAGTGTAATTGAAATATCATCAGTGGAGTTGACCAAGCTAGTTTATTAAAAAAAAAAACCCCATATGATTCCCTCATCTCAAATTAGATTAATTACTTTAAAAAAACTGGTCCTTGATTGTTACAATTGTTATTATACCAATTAAATTGGACAGCTGATCTCCTTGAATGTTGCAACAAACCCTATTGTATAAGAGTTATATCAATTAAAAGTAAAGTTGCTCTTTGATTGTTGCAGTAAACTAAAATTTAATCAGTATGTAAAATGGGTAATGTCTTCGTTCTGTTCAGAATTAATTTAAATGATTATATCCATAAAAATCAACATCATCACTATTAGTCAACTTTTGATAAAAGATACGAAGGGGAGATGAAGAATCGCTCCCTTGCTATAAAAAATAAATATAGAAAATTAATTATCGAGGTTGATATGACTCAAAATCGTCACTTTACGATTGACATCGAGTGAGGAGAAGTAAAGTGCATGAGGATGGCAATTAAAGATAATTTACGGTTATGACATTTATGAAATGAACATCTTGAAATTTCGAGTTTGAAGTTGTTATCAAAGGCAAATATGGGAATGGATTGATCAACACTCCAAATCAATTATATGAGGTTTCTATCAAAGGAAAGCAACATAGATAAAGCTTCGAAGTTGGCAAATCTTAGTAAGCCCGAAGATAGTTGGAGTTAGTACACTGTTATAGATTGAAGAGAAATAGAGAAGAATTCGAGAGAAAGATGAGAGAATAGGAGAGGATTCAGAGAGAAGAAAAGTTCATTCATTCATTTTCTGAGCATAAATGACTACAAGCAGGGATTTTTATTTAGTTACAAAAATAGTACTGGGAATCTAAATTCTGCCAGCTGGCATTAATACTAACAGATTGCTAACAGACTTGATTTGTATCATTTCTCTTCTCAGCCTGCATTGGGCCATCTGATCTGGGCCGCTCCATTGTGCTTCTGGACTGCTCCAACTCAGCCTGCTCCATCTCGTCGGGTAACTTAATCATCTGACCCTCTTTTGATTTAATTCCCAATTTACAATTTTCAATCCCTAATCCTCGAGCAACCATCCCCAATTCCTCCCCTCTCTCGTCCATTCCCAATCTCTTCTCTCCTCGCCGTTCTTCTTCTCTTCGCCGTTCTTCTTCTCCTCCGACCATAACAATACCCACCCCACCAGAAGATCCTTGTCCCCAAGGATCAAATCCAGGAAAATGACCTTTCAGAACTGTATAGTCCTCCCATGTGTCATTTGATTCATCCAAATTCTCCCATCGAACCAGAAGTTGAGTGACTGGCTTACTGTTTCGATTCACTATACGCTTAGCCAAAACCTTTAAAGGTTGAACTCTGAACTGTCCCTCGTCATCTATTGCAGGAGGGTCCGTTGCAACAGTAGAGGAATCCCCAATAAATTTCTTCAGAAGGCTCACATGGAACACTGGATGAAGTCTTGACGAATCTGGTAAGTGTAATCGATAGGCCACTTCACCAATTTTTTCCAGGACTTTATATGGCCCAAAATATTTAGCTGCTAACTTTAGGTTTTTTCGCAAGGCTAATGAAGTCTGTCTGTATGGCTATAGCTTCAGGTAAACCATATCCCCCACATGAAAAACTCTTTCTGATCTTTGTTTATCTGTTTGTTGCTTCATACGGTTGCTTGCTAATTCTAACTGTTGCTTGACCAATTGTCTGATATTCTCTCTACTTGTCATAATATCTTGTACTGATTGCACTGCAGTATCTGTGGTCCAAACCATGATAGGTGGTTTGTAACCATATAAAGCCTGAAAAGGTGTAATTTTTAGGGCAGTGTGATAAGTGGTATTATACCACCACTCTGCATGAGATAACCACTTAGCCCATTTCTTAGGCTGATGGAAACAAAGCCCTCTAAGATATTGTTCTAGACATTGATTAACCCTTTCTGTTTGTCCATCCATTTCAGGATGATAAGCAGTACTGAAAAGGGTCTTAGTACCCAACTGTTTCAGTTCCTTCCAAAATATACTAGTAAAGGTTCTGTCTCTGTTAGAAATGGCCACTTTAGGATGGCCATGCAACTTATACACATTATCCAAGTAGAGTTTAGCTACCTCTGCTGCAGAATAGAGATGAGATAGTGATAGGAAATGATTATATTTGGTAAATTTATCCACAATGACCAATATACAGTTCTTCTTAAGTGAAGTAGGTAATCCTTCAATGAAATCCATAGTGATGATTTCCCAGGTCTGATTAGGAATAGGCAATGGCTGTAGTAATCCAGGCTTTGCAATATGTTCCACTTTAGTTAGTTGGCAAGTCTGACAGCATCTAACAAAAACAGTAACCATAGACTTAAGACTTGGCCAATAAAAAATTGACCTTATCTTGTAATAGGTAGCTTGTATACCTGAATGTCCCCCTTGGGGAGAGTCATGAAAAGTCTGTATGATCTTCACTCTAAGGCTTCCATTAGATCCAATATAAACTCTCCCATCATATCTAAGAATAGCCTTAGAAAATTTCTATTTACTGTCAGCAGCTGAATCAACAGTTAAAATTGAAATCCAATTCTGAGCCAGGGAGTCATTTTGATAACTGTCTTCAACCTCTTGAACCCAAGTAGGAACTAAGACTGTTACACCCATAGTCAAACATTGAGCTTGATCTTCCCACCTTCTAGATAAAGCATCAGCAACCACATTTAATTTTCCTTTTCTATACTGAATAGTATAGTCTAATCCCAAAAGCTTTGTCAACCCTTTCTTTTAAATAGTAGTAGTCAACTTCTACTCGAAAAGAAACTTTAAGGGCTAATGGTCTGTTTTAATAACAAATAGTCTGCTCTCCAAATAATGTCTCCATTTAGAAACCGCCAAGAGAATAGCAAGATATTCTCTTTCATAAATAGATAGTGTTAAATCTCTAGGGCTTAAAGCTTTACTCAAATAAGCAATAGGTCGACCTTCCTGTGAAAGAACAGCCCCAATACCCCCAGAACTAGCATCTGTCTCCAAAGAAAATGTCTTAGAAAAATCAGGCAATGCTAAAACTGGAGCAGAACACATAGCTTTCTTAAGATTTTCAAAAGCAGTATGAGCAGCAGAATTCCACTGAAAGCCATCTTTCTTCAGCAGTAATGTCAATGGTCTGCTAATAATGCCATAATTCTTAATAAATCTTCTGTAATAACCTGTCAGACCTAGAAACCCTCTGAGAGATTTAAGGGTTTTAGGCTTAGGCCAATTTTGCATTGCTTCCACTTTACTAGGATCAGTAGACACCCCTGCAGCAGAAATAATATGGCCAAGGTATTCTACCTTGGTCTGCCCAAAAAACACTTGGACAATTTTGCAAATAATTGATTCTTTTGCAAAACTTCCAAAACTGACTGTAAATGTTCAACATGGTCTTTCATACTGCTGCTATACACCAATATATCATCAAAGAAAACTAAAACAAACTTCCTAAGGAAGGAATTAAATAAATCATTCATAAGAGCTTGAAAGGTAGCAGAAGCATTAGTAAGGCCAAAAGGCATTACCTTAAACTCATAATGGCCTTGATGTGTTCTAAAGGTTGTCTTGTAAATATCTTCAGGGTTAATTCGAATTTTCCAGTAACCTGATCTCAAATCAATCTTTGAGAAATAAATTGCCCCATGCAATTCATCTAATAAATCCTCCACAATAGGAATAGAAAATTTGTCCTTGACAGTCAGACTGTTGAGTTGCCTATAGTCCACACAAAATCTCCAAGTGCCATCCTTATTTTTAATAAGAAGACAAGGAGAGGCAAAGGGGCTCCTGCTAGGTTGAATAATAGAAGAAGTAAGCATAGTAGTTATCTGTTTCTCAACCTCAGCCTTCTGATTATAAGGAAATCTATAAGGTCTTAGATTAACAGGTGTGGCATTAGGTTTAAGTGGAATAGCATGGTCATGAGACCTCTGAGGAGGTAGACCAGCAGGTTCAGCAAAAACTGGTCTGTATTTATCCAGTAGGTGTTGGATTTCAGTAGGAATTGAAGAAGAATGCCCTGTCATAGTCAATAGGACAATATGTCCCATAAGAGCAGAATCCCCTGCACTCATTTTAAGTAATGTAGCCCTTGAAATTTGTTGTAGTTCAGTTGAGGGTTATTGTCCCTGAATACAAATTTGCTGCCCTCCATGGTCAAAACTTAAAGTCATGTTATTGAAGTCCATTAATATTGGACTGAATAACTTCATCCAATCTACTCCTAAAACCATGTCACTGCCTCCCAACTTGAGCAATCTAAAATCATGTATAAATGTATGGCCTTGCATTTGCCATTCCACTTTGTTGCATCTAGCTGAAATAAATAATTGTTGACCATTAGCCACAGTAATAGCCAAGGGGTAAGGAGTAGTAATTTGGATACCAGCATCAGCCCATTTAGGAGTCAAAAATCTGTGTGTACTCCCACTATCTATTAGAATATTCAATGGTCTGCCCTGAATAGCTCCCTGTATCCTCAGTGTAGTATGACCAATAGAGCTAGTAATGGCATTCATAGATATTTCCAATGTTTCTTCCTCTTCTTATGGAGACTGATCTGAGTCTGTAGGAAAAATTTCTGCTGAGGAAGTGTCAACTTCCTCAGTAATCATATTTAGCTGTCTGTTTTTACATTGATGACCTGGAATGAATTTCTCTCCATATTTAAAATAGAGGTTATTCTGTCTTCTATACTTAATAAGATTCTGCTTAGAGTTTGGCACTGCTGTAGGTTTTGTATTTACTAGCAATGAAACTGATTTAGAAACAGTGATGGGGTTTGGGTTGGGTGGGAATTTAAAAGAAGGCCTCAACCTTCTGTTCTCAAACTCCACAGACAATTCATAGAGCTTAGCTTGCTTACATGCTTCAAACAAATTCCTAGGATCCAAAGCTTTGACCCTATGCTTAATATCATCCCTGAGTCCA